ATTGATTGATCTTGTTGGCTTGTATATTGATTGATCTTGTTGGCTTGATCTTGCACAGCTCTTGTGTAGGTAACGGCAGCTGCAATGAGTTCATGAGAACAATTGCCAGAAGCCGTTTTACAGCACCTTCAAGAGGCAGAGGCCGGAGGACCACAAGTTCTAGGCTAGCCTTGGCTACATACAAAGGCTCATTTCTATCTGTCTGTCTGTCTCTGTATCTATCTATCTATCTATCTATCTATCTATCTATCTATCTATCTATCACTGTTATATAAACAGACAAACTGGAGTAGAGCTATAATTTTTCTTAAACGTTTTTGGTAGGCTGTAGTGGTAAAGCAGAGTCTACAAAGAGTCTCACTAGAAGTGATGGAAACTTTGTGTTCCTGCCCCCTTTATACATGCTGATGACAGTGAATTTGAGGCAACTGTTTTAATATGTGATCCACAGCCAAACATTAAGTGGAGCTTGGAGAATACTGTGGAAGAGGGGGGAGGAAGAATTGAAGGAGCCAGGGGGATCAAGGACACTACAAGAAAACCTACAGAATGAACGAACTTGGGTCCACAGAGGCTCATAGAGACTGAACCACTAAGCAGAGAGCATGCATGGGACAGACCTAGGCCTTTTGCCCATCAGTAACAGTGGTACAGCTGGGTCCTCACGTGGGACTCCTTAAGCAGGAGCAGGGGCTGTCTCTGACTACATTTCCTAACTTTGGATCCCTTTCTCCTAACTGGGCCTTGTCTAGCCACAATAGAAGACGTTCCTAGTCTTACTGCAACCTGATATGCCAAGTCCGGTTGATATCCATGGGAGGCCTCCCCTTTTCTGAGAAGCAGAGGGGGTGGGGGTGGATGCAGGGAAGGGAGATAAGAGGGAGGGACTGGGAAGGAGGAGGGAAGCTGCGCTCGGGATGTAGATAAATAATCAAAAAATAAAAAAGTTTAAAAGTATACATTTAAAAAGAGAAAGAGTCTGTCCCAAAAACAAAGCTGTGTAGGCACAGTTTTCCGTGGAGTAGTGGGTTGAAAATGATGGGAATCTGCAGTAAAGATGGCAGTACCGTACCTCTGGTTGATAAGGGAAGACAAGTCCCAATCTAATTCTCGAAATCATGGAACTAGGCTCCATTCGAGAGGCTCCATTACAAATGCCAGCATCTTGTTTACATTTTAATTCCTCCCACCTGGATCTTTCAGGACCTATCTTTACCCTTCTTTCAACTTAAACATGGCACTCAACCAAGGACCATCTATGGATATAACCTAGAACTTCTGCTCGGATGTGGCCCGTGGTAACTCAGTAACCAAGTAGTTTTCCAAAGTAAGGGGAACAAGGACTATTTCTAACAGGATCTCAAGGGCAGGCTGTTTGACCCCCCCCCCCCCAGGGGAGGAGCAGTCTGTTAGGCCACAGAGGAGGACTTTGCAGCCAGCCCTGAAGATACCTGATAAAACAGGGTCAAATGAAAGGGGAGGAGGTCCTCCCCTATCAGTGGACTTGGAAAGGGGCAGGGAGGAGACCAGGGAGGGAGTGTGGGGTTGGGGAGGGAATGAGGGAGTGGAATACAGCTGGGACACAGAGTTAACAAAATGTAACTAAAAAGAAAAATAAAATTAAAAAAAAAAACATGGCTTTGAGAAACATGACTAAATGTCACTATGACTAAATATTTAGGGCTGTATGTTTCCCTTCGTTTCTTAAGTCTCTCCCACTGCATGTGGTCTATTCTTGTGCCACAGGTGTTTTTATCTACCTGTGTCGCTACATCCATGGTTACACATGTTTGTTCTCTGACCCTTGATCGTTACATAAGCAACTGTGATTATCAAGAAGCATACAATGTATGTGTTTGTGTATCTGTAGGTGAAACAAAGACATCAAATACATTTTGCTGATTTCGTGTGGGGGTGGGGGAGAAAGGCAAAATAAATATGGTGATGTTCACAAGTGATTCCAGCGCTCAGGCAGCAGAGGCAAATGCACTGTCACAGGTCGAGGGCCATCTTGGTCTACATAAATGTCCCTGTCTCAACAACAACAACAATGAAACCAAGGGAAGCCTCAGATGAAGGCAAATAAGTGTAGCCATTTTATTGACAGATCTTCTAGCCATGACCAGTGATCTAGTATTCAGTTGAGCAAGAATTGATTGATTTCTCCTGTTCCAGGACCTCTCCAGGTTGGAAGCACCAAAAAAGGTACGAAAAGCAGGTGAGTGGTTAAATGGGTCAGCATGATATAAAGTTGATGGGGAGAAATAATGGTTAGAGTCCCTGAGGTCTCTTGAGTTTCTGAATAGCAGCATTCATGTCACCATCAGTAGCTATGAGAGCTTGTAGATTGGCAGGATAATTCACAAATCCCATGGCCTGGAGACATTCCATCTGTTTCCTGAAATGAACTTCGGGAGCTTGTTGGGATTGGGAAGAGTCTCCAGACAAGGGCTGTAATCTCTGAAGGACTGTTCCAGGTTTGTGGCAGCATTCAGGCCACTGAGGCTCAGCTGTGTCTGGCACATTCCAGGCCCAGGGCATTGGATCAGGGTAGCTACAGCTGGAAGGAGGAAACCAACCTAGACTCCATAGGTAAGATTCAATGCAGGGCAAAAGAACAGGAGCCTCTGTAGCCAAGAGCTGCAGACCGTGTTCAATTTGTAATATTGCTTGTGATGCTTTAGGGTTGGCTAGGGCTGAGAGCAACTCGGAAAGCTGTAATGGCTGCAAGGCTGTAGGAGGTTGCTGCCTCCACTGCTCATTAAGTTGGGGCATATTCATGAGCAGCAGCATCTGCGCTGCAATGAATGGGTGGTTCCTGAGCAACCGGATCATGCCTCCTGTGATCTGAGTGATGGTCTGCTCATCGGACTGCTGGAGATCTTCTACACCTTGGTCTGAGCTACCTAAAGAGGTGGTGGTACCCTTACCATCTTCCTGAAGCTCCTTGGTGACTGCTATGCTGGACAAGGCTGGAATCCCAGCTGGCTGCTGAACAGCGCAGACATGGCTTTGGCCCATGGTGGCAGCTGTGGCTGGAGTTCCCCCGGAAGCATGGCTAACATTGTTTGGAGTAGCATGTGTTGGGTTGGTAGATGGTAATCCACAAGAATTAGCATAAGTGACGTGGGCAGTAGGGAATTGGTCCCATTGTTCCTCAGATGGCGATGGAGATAGGAAAGGAGTCTGGACTTGTTCTACTACTTGTCCAGCCAGAAGAGTTGTAAAAGAGTTGTCCCCTAAAAGATCATGCATGCCACTGAACATTTGGTCATTGAAATTATAGCTCTGGCCCAGGCCATAAGCCTCATTTGGAATCATCTCTAAGCCCAGGTATGGCTGTGGGTTCAGTGGATGCTCAAAGTTCTGTGCTGGCCGCTGTATCTGCATTATCTCTCGGATGATGGCAAGGTGCCTGGCCAGCTCTAGAGTCTGGCCGAGGATCTCAGAATTGTCGAGGAGAAGGGAGGCTCCTGGGTTGTGCTGTATCAGTTCTTGTATATCTGGGTATTCTGAATTCAGCTGACCCATATTGGACAACAGTGTCTGGACACAAATGTTCTCCAACATCTGTGCAATGTGCTCTGGACTCTCCACATCTGGGTTTTGAGTACCCACGTTGGGTGCATCAGACTTCATGAGAAGGGGTGATTCCACTTTAGTCTGACTCATGCCTGCAGATGGGAACACCCTACTGCTATTTCCTTTGGTGCTTCTGTCTTGATGGCAGGGACTGTTGGTTAACAGGTTCCGGAAAGGGTGAGCCAGGGATCTGGAGCCATGCTTGGACTTGATGACCACGTAGATGGTATGGCCATCTCTGATGCCCCTCTGGCTCAGTGTGTCATGGTCTCTGAGAAGGCAGCCCATGAACACCAGTTCCAGTTGTTCTAGCTGGCAGTTAAAGTGAGCAGACAGCCTCTCCTTGAATTGCTTCACTGAGGCGTCATTAGCTACCGTGAAGATGCTCTGGATGTCTGGTGTCTTCACAATCACTTGAACGGCACCTGGGAAGACATTCCCATGTTCAGGCACACCTACATGACACCTGCTCTGAGGCATCCTAGATGTTCTAGAGATGATATGCGGCATAGACCTTAGTGAGTAGGCTGGTGAGGAGCAGGCAGAAGCAGAGTTAGAGAGGTGAGGGCAGACAAATGTTCCTGTTGGCCTTCGACACAGGTGTTGTGCTCTGAGGTCATAGGTTAGTCTTTCTTGATGCCCTGCAAAAGCATGAATGGGCTGAAGCCAGTATTATGCGATGTTGTGCCCTCACCCCGAGTCTCCAGATGTGGCCCAGCTGAGGCCTGGCGTGGCTACTGACTCATACTTGGCACAAGGTGGACTAAGTGTTGATGACCCTTCACAGCTGCCCCACCCCCAAGAGCATGGCCTGTTCAGAAAAGAAATATTATGATGTCAACTTAAGCCTCACAATATGTCATGATGAAATGGGGATGAATAAATTTGGGAGAGTGGAGATGCCTCTCTTTGTAATAAAACAAAATAGGACAGTTTTTCAAAAGTGGGGATAAAATTTCCTAGTAAATAATACTAGTAACAGTAGCAATAAAACAGATATGGAATATGTGCTTTTTATAGTGTGTGTAAGTCCCTCTTCAGAATGATTAGTCTTAGTGTATAAAGTGTTGAAACCATTAAAAACATCATTCTGGCGATTAAAAATGGAGTCTGTATCACAGGAAGGATTTGTTAATTTTGCTAATGATCTTGACAAAGTGACCATTAGAAAGGACAATGGAGACCAGATTTGATGGGACACACCTTCAACCCCAGCCCTCTGGAAGCAGACGCAGGCAGATCTCCATGGAGAGCCTGGTCTACACAGTGAGTTCCAGGCCAGCCGGTACTACACTGTGAGGCCTTGTCTCAAAAATTAAATTACCTAAATAGAATAATATTTTTAAAGAAAGGAAGATGGAAAAAAGTGAAGATATTATGTGAAAATGGAAGTCACATTTCACCTCTGAGGTTAGACTGGATTCCAGACTTAGGTGAGAATGTGCCCACTTAGTAGGGGGAGACTTTTCTTCCCTGGGGGTAGGGGTGGGACTAGCCACGGAGGCTTTCTATGAGGTGAGTAAGTGTGTTGCTGTCTACAGCACGCTTCATTCACATAATTTACATGTGGTTTGGTCTCTATATGTACCATAATAACAGACTTTCTGAGTGATTTCAAGGTCTTTGCTCAGTTTTAAGTGAAAACACCAAGGAGAGCATGTCCCAGCATCGAGCGGCAACAAGGAAAGTGGTTAGCAATTCATTTCCTCAGGGAGGCAGGCTCCTCCAGTGGAGAGCGAAGATTCCCAGCACCCGGGTTACTGGAATTCGTATTTGATTGTTTTGTTAGAAAGCTCTGGAATTATTACTGGATATGCTAAGATATCTACATGAATACTTAAATGTAGAATTTTGTGTATATATATATATATATATATATATATATATATATATATATATATATAGCACATGTTCAGGATCTATGTTTGTGAATATACACACAAGGAAAGGGCATGCATTCTCTGTGACTAGAACAGCTTGGGAAGCTGTGTTTATACAATTACCCAGAGAAGGGGACACCCAGAGAGCTTTAAACTGCATGTTATCAGTGTGTTGTAGGGGGGGAAAGAAAGACACGCTAGGAGATTTTCTGCAATCACACCAAGAAGTCTTTATTGAGAATGTCTTGAGCCACAGTCCAGTCCACATCCCAAGCTACTAATCCTGACTACCTCAGTTTCTAGAACATCCTAGAACAGAGGCAGCCTTAAGTGCCTCTTTCAATTCTACACAAAATTGAGATTGTTTGAGGGCAGTGAAGAATTTACCTTCAGACCAAGATTCTGATTTCCTCCTCTGAAGAACCCTTTAGGAGTGGAGGTGTGACAGGGACCTTCTGTACCTCACTCCCAATACCAGTTGTCTTCTATACTGGAATCAGATGCACTCAACTAAAGGTCTCATTATCCTAGAATTCTAGGTTCTACAAGGGTAAGTTTTTAAACATGACACCCATGCATCAGAAAAAAAGGGTAACATTTCTCCAGCCAATTTTGTTGATGTTGTTATTCAGTGCTAAGGACTGAATGCTGAATTTTCTTCCCACCTGCTGTGCTAAGTAAGGATTGACTCTAGGTCTTGCTACATGCTAAACACATGATTCAGCACTTAGCTGCCCTCCCAACTTCTATCTAGCTAATAATGTATTTTGTTTCTTAATGAAATCCTTGCAGGCCACTATCATCACCTTAATGTGTTGACTCAAATTTAATTACATACAAAACAGACTTCATCAGTATACCTCAATCATAGGCAGATGGTTATTAAGGGAGTTGTCCTTCTAGAGGTAAGGAAGACAACATGATTCCACTAGTGCCCTGGTGAGTATAGGAATCTCCTGACCTGGAGGGACTTGGTAGGGTTGGATGGAGCTGGAACCCCAGAAGGCCTTTTAATGGGAGAGCTTGGCAGCTTTTGCTTTAGTGTCTGGAAGATGAGGTCATAAGTTATTAAGAATCCATCATTATAAACATAGAGCTTGTGGTCCCAAGGGCAGTAATTGATGCCGTGCAGTGTTTCCAGCATCTTGTCCAACAAGATGCTGAGGTGGTGTTCCTGCCCAGTGGTTGTGTCATAAGCATAAAAGATCTCCTCTTGACGAGTGCTCAGTGAGCGTAAAGCGTAGAGCACCCCACAGGCCATGAAGGCCCCTGAAAGAGCGGGCTTATACTGGCTAGTCAGCCACGTCTGCTCAACTTCTAGGGTGCTGTCATTGAGGCGACTTACAACCAGATTACCCTTGCTCTCCTCTGTGGCATAGAGCACCCAAAGCCCCTTCTCATCACCAGCAAAATCTAAGTCCGTCCAAGGCACACCGGCATATGAGAAGCGGTTGTTGTAAGTGGCACCAGGCAATGAGCGTCGCAAGACCAGGGTGTTGGAGGAGAGGTCCACCTTGGCCATGTCTCTTGTGCCGTAGTAGTTAAAGTACATGAAGTTCTTGTACACGGTGTTGCCACTGCCATCACCATATCCCATCTTCCACTGCTCATAGTGCTTCAGCAGTACCAGGTCACCGAAGGATCTGTACAGCCAATAGTAGTCAAAGTACCTAGGCCAAAGCCACCAACATTAGAACCATTCAGCGGCAGCAGTAAGCAGGGTAGTATATTACTATGAAAACAGTCGCTCATCCCCAAATGGGACATCTGTAACACAACCCCTACACTCATGCCTCAGGGAACATAGAGGAGGAGATGGAGAGATTAAACGTAACAGTCAAAGGAACGCGAGTTCTGCTGTGTCTTCTGGATATGACAGGAGCATTGTACCAATGAAGTCACAATAATATGGTCACCTACATTAGACCAATAATCATCCCATCGTAGATACGGGGAAGGCTTCTGAGGTCACAGCCCCCGATGGAGAGCTGCAAGCAGTCCACAGCTGTGTAGGGAAGGAGAGCCTGTTTTCTTCGGGGGACAAATCCGCAGCAGATTGCCCAGGCAATCTACACATTACACATGCACATGTGTACACATGGGAAACACTAATCGGACCATTAGAAAAGTGTGTGTGTGCCTGTGTGTGTGTGTGTGTGTGTGTGTGTAACTACAGAAGAGAACATAAATTTTAAAGGTAGACATGTGGGGCACACAGGAAGAGTTACAGATGAGTCAGGCAGGGAGGGTGGACATGATGGAAATACACTGTACTTAATATATGAAATTCTCACACACAAAAACATACAACTGGGAAGCCTCATGTGTCAATTAAGAGCAGGGGCTTTGAAGTCAAATGGCATTTTTATTCCATCTTTTACTTACTATACACTGTGTCAAAATGATTAGCCATTTTAAAAAGCAACAGCTATGATGGCTGCTGGCCACATAAGTGCATAATCTCATTAAATTATACTGAAAACATTATATGAGGTAAATTTTGCCCTCAAAGATTATAGGGCTAAGTCTCAGAAAGTTTAGGTTCTTTCTTCAGAGTCGTAGAGCTTATAAGTGAAACCTGACAGGAATAACAAAAGAATAGACTTCACTGATTATGAAAACTGACCTAGGTGATGAAAGCAATAAATTTAGTGCAGTGTTTATCGTAAAGAGCAATCAACAAATAGTTGGTGATGCATTCTTTGTGGACAGCTCCTGAACCAAGGCTGAGCCACGTGCCACTGGACAGTCAGATGCAAATAGACTATGATTCCAGAGTTAGGTTCAATAAAATCATTAAGTTATAAGGATTCTCATGTCTTAACAGTGAGCAGTAAGCTCTAAACTATCAATTAGCATCTTGGAAGTAACCAGGGCAAAGGCTGTCTGGTGTATCTCACAGGCTACACACTGACTGAAGTTGAGGAGCATGATTAGGACTAATGCTAATCTTCTTGATAAAAGCTTCAGGTGGGGCTCATAAGAGTTGGTTCCACCCACAATTATCTCTCTCCCATGACCTGCTGCTCAGTTAGGTCCATACCACACTTCCACACACACTGACTGACTGCAGCAAACTCCACACACTCTGGCTTTAGGCAGGGCGAGTTGCACCCACCTTCCTAGGCAGCTGAGGCATCATTGAAGAGCCCACACACACACATACCCCGCTCACTGATTCATGTAGCCATTCATCTAACTAACAAATGCTTGTCAGCGCCCACTGCAGTGATTCATTCTTTCCCAGGAACTCCATGAAGTTTTATCATTTACCTAATTATCCTCGAGTTATAGATGGCTAAGAACGGTTCATTCATCTGAAGTCTTTTAGCATAAAGGCAGTGTTAACAGTCATTATCACTACAGCTTCACTGCAGGTCTCAAGGTCTAAGCAGAAAATTGGGACTCTAATGCTGTGTTATATAAGAGTTTGTCTTTGAACTGGGATAAGACTTTGGTTCATGTCAATATTAAAAGCTTCGGAGTAGCCAGGCAGTGGTGGCGCACGCCTTTACTCCCAGATCTCTGAGTCCGAGGCCAGCCAGGTGTACATAGTGAATTCCAGAACAGCCAGGGCTACACAGAGAAACCCTGTCTCAAAAACAAAAACAGAAACAGAAAAAAAAAATTCCTTTAGAATAGAAGGGACCATGTATGCTCCAAAGGAAGTATTGGGTAGAGATCTTCCAGGTCTAGGCTACACTGGCTGGCCCAGCAGCAAACATAAGACAGAGGTAAAAAATCTGTACTAGGGCTAAGAAACCTGTCAGGGCCAGGTGAAAGTGCATGTGGAATGGATGCAGACACAGAAAAGTTGTCATCTAGAACCCACCTGCCATCAGAACGAAGAGGAGCCACCCAGTAAAGGAAAGAAGCCGGATTGGGTGCGGAGTCACGGCCCCAGGCACCCGCCTTGTATGATAAACCCCTCCAATTGAGCTTCAGCACAAGGGGTCTGCCCACTTTCTGCAGGCCTCCATGAGCGCAGGAACCTACAAGGGAGAGCAGGCAAGACACGGGCTGGATACAAGGCACGGCATGGAGCATAACTAGCACCCATGTGCTTGAGAGTTGCTCATGCAAGTGCGCACCTAATCCTGAGTAGACTGATTCTGCATGAAGAGATGAATGCATGTGCCCGGCTATGAGGAGCATGAACGGCTGCATCCGTAAGTAGGTCCATGAGAAGATACCAGTCTTGGCATGAGCAGGATATTGAAGATTTATTCCTTATCAAGGTCTTTACTGGTTTCCCCTTAGTCCCTCAGTCTACTAGAGCAATCATGCTTTTGGCCCAGTCACTGGAGAAACAAAATCAGTCTGTGAACTCACCAGAGGCCAGGGGTGGACCAGGGTGTCTGGAAGACTGTTCCTGTTCCTTCTCCCTCTCGCACTCACTCAGTTGGCGCTCAAGGATGTCCACCTCCTCTTGGAGGGCACGGAAGCTTTGGTGGTCAGAGTCAGCCAGAAGCTTCAGGGTCAGACTGATGTTAGTCACCTGAGAGAGTGAGATCCCAGGAATGCTGATACAAGGGGTTCTCACGCTCAACTCACACTCTTCTCCAGAAAGAAGAGATTTTGGAAAGTGTCAAATATATACACTTTTTCAAAGACAGGAGGATGTGAGAAACAGAGGGCTCTTGAATCTAGCTACACACCTGGTTCTGGAGTTGGTGGAGGAGGTCCGCGGCCCCACTGACACCTCCCTTGGCCTTAAGCTGAGCTGCCAACTCCTGTGCGCCTTCCAGCCCCAGGTGTAGCAGGTTGAAGGCTGGGTTGTCATACGGGGACGCAGGGACACCAGGATTCCTGGACTCCAGCATGGGACTCCGTTCTAGAGTGTGGATGCCTTCATCTTCAGTGGCATGTGCATACTGCTCGGCCTGGGCAGGAAATGACAGGTGTAAAGTTTCCCTAAATGTCAGGGAGCCTGACTCTTCCCATCCATTCACATCCAGAGATTATGAACTTACAAAGCACCTATGTCTATCACCTTATTTAATAGTAGCATTATCCCCATTTCTCTTCCAAGGACAGAGAGTTCCTAGTCATCAAGGGAAGCATCAGGAGGCACTCAGCTCTGGATCAGATCTAATTAACGCTCACAAGAACACAGCAAGAGGTGAGCAGTGATCGCGCACTGCAGTTAGAAAAGTCGCTAGTATCCGACACTAAAGGAATCTTACAACATCATGTAATTAATAACTGACAAGGCTGCATGCTTCTCCAAATTTTGACATTTATTCCAGATCTTTTGCTCTTAAATCAAAGGCAGCTACACATCTCTACACCGTGATGGGGCGGGTCAGCAAAAGCCAAGAAGGTGAGGGAAGTGGGGAGCTCCCTTGCCTCAAAGAACCAGAGCAAGAGTGCAGATGCTCTAAGGCGAGGAGACATGTTACCCTTGCATAACATGACTTGCTCAGATCCAGTTCAAATCCACTGAGTCTAGAGCTACACTTTTTATTTTCCTTTCAAAATTGCATACGTTACCTCTCTGTATGTCAGTACCCTCAGGGGGACAGTGATAAAAGTTGTGGAATTTTCCCTAGTGTTTTACTTTAAGATAGATCAGGTAAGTGAACAGATGATAGATGGATAGATAAATGATAGATAGATGGGATAGATGACATAGAATATAGATGATTGATAGAGATATATGATACAGAGCATTTCAAGTCATGTGTGCCTGCTTATAATAGAGCTGATTAGATGTGTGATTACAGTTCTTTAGTTCTTTCCCACTTCTGTTTTGAAGCTGAATAAGCTAGCACTAGATTGAAAACTCCCTCGTATACTTTTAGACTAGGCCTGTGGTGCCAGCTGGCATTTTTTTATAGACTTGTCTAAACAAATGGCCTCTGTGCATCTCTGAGCTTTACCCTCCCCTATATATTTTTGAGCTCTGACACCCATAGTTTATTCTGGTTCTGGCTCCAGCCTGAAACTCAATCGCAATCGGTTTTAGATTCAGTCAGAAACTAAAATAAAGCCACTAAATCTATAATGCCCTGGGCTGGACACTCATATCACCAGCATCCTTATAAGAGGAGGAACGCGCACTGAGTTGGTGGAAAACAAGGACTAGTAACAGTAGGGTGTACGGCCCGAGTGTGCCTCCCCCCTCTTTCTATGCCCATACTCCCCAAGGAAAAATTAGGGCAAAATGCTGTCACACCATCATTTCTCTTCCTCCACGTCTCTCTACTTCACTCTTGCCAAGGACCTACGAATTCTTGAAAAAAACGAGAATAGAACAAGAGGCCAGCCCCAAACATAGAACCATCTCTCTCCTACATGATAGGTTTACCCTTTGCCTGTACCTGAAGCTGTCCTGGAAGCACCAGGGCCAGCAGCAGAAGGGAGGCCAAAAGAGCTGAGCCAGACTGCATCTTGATCCAACTGTACATAAGAGGTAAGTCCCTAGGGCTCCCACTCAACTTTTATCTCCAGTGCAAATGAGTAGTCTCAGTAGGAGGGGACAAAGATTTCAACATCAAAACGGCTAAGATATGTGGAGGATCTTGAAGGGTGCGAGACATGCCTTTGACTTCAAAGGTGGGTGGAAGGGGGGTTCCTCTATGAAAACAGGATTGTCCTCATCCATCCCAAACAGAGATCTGTCCTTGCCTTGCCAAGGTCTCCTACACAAATAGATTAAAGCAAACCTGAGACATCTGGAGGGGCCCTGGATGGGCCCCTTTCAAAGGGGATTATGATCTTTTCCTCAACGCTCAGGGGAGGAAGGTTCTAGAAGGAAATGCAACCTAACCTGTTCAATCTAAGGACAGACGCCATTTACTTAGCCACTTAACCATGTCCTCTGGGTGAGAGCCAAAGTGTGCCCCTCGGGGATTGCTTAAGCAAACACTGCACTATGTTGCCCTATTACAAACCTTCCCTCATCCTCAGCAGTCTGCCTCCTCCACTATCCTGGGTACTCTAAACATTTCCGTTCTACTTCACCTCCAAATGCTCTCCTAAATCCCCCTATGCGGGATGTCCACAGCCTCTGCTGTCTGTGTTCTAAGAAGCCTCCATGCTGCCAACAACAGGAGGCTACCGAGCCTCAAGTTCTCTGGTAGATATTCCTATAGAAGAGTTTGGTTCCTAAAGCCTGGACAGGAGATCACAGCTCAGAGCTCTCACTATTGACTAACTTAAATATCTCTATGTCTCTCCTCCCTCAGTCTTATTACTTGAGTTTGTAATTACTCAAGCAATGTAGAATCTCCCTGGGAGATGCTAGATTTCACTAGAAAGCTTCCATGAAGGATTTATCATTCCATTTTTGTTGAGAAGGTCGGTGTCTATAAACGCTGGCTATCCAACCCGCTGCTTCCCTGCTTCTCACAGTGGCCAGTTTCAGATTCTGTGGACACTCCGCCATGGCCCTCTCACTACTCATTCATCCTTTGAGATTCTATCTACACTGTACAACTGGTTTTACAAGCCGCGTAAATCTCCATTCCTCATTCTCAAAAGACTTCATAGACTGAGGTAGATATAACTCTAGAGAATTACATTATATTACAATATTGGGAAATCTTTTCTGTGAGGTCACATATCAGGTTATCCTGATTCACAGATGTCACTGTCTTGCTCCCCACTCAAAACCAGAGATTCATTCTCCACTGAGTCCTGCATCCTGTCATCCAGGAAACATGAAAATTGAGAAGATAACTTCTGCCTATCTAGGGTGTTGGTCCTAAAACCAAATGTGCACGTGATATAGAAACGTATGTAACCAGGGCCCAAGTGGGTGTCACCAGACCCATGTTTTAGAGAACAGATGGACAGAAGGATGAGTAAGAGAGCAGCCAGGGCAGGAAGCATGACAGCACGAGCTGTGGCTGTCTCCCCATGTCATAGCAACTATGCTAAGCAAGCGCCAACCCCACCATTGTCCGCTCCCCAGCTTTCCGGAGCCCAAGGAATTAACCACCAGATCAGAAGCCAGTTTCCAGGCTCTGTGTCTTTATCCACACTGTACTATTTCTCCAGGTCCTCCTGTCTTCATCCCTTTGGAAGACATGAAATTCCTGCTTGATGTCAGATACCTCACAAAGGTTCTCACACAGCCCAGTCTGAATCTGTGTAAAGTGATGAAGAGAGATTATAGTCCCATCGATGTGTCTTGGGCCTCCTTGTGTGTCACAAAAGAGCCCAAACTCCGCTACATTGCTGACTCACCACCGGATCACGCTGTGCAGGTAGGGAGAGGTCCTACATGTGTGGAATAAGAAGTGCTGCAAGAAGATGTCAACACTTGGGTTCACCCCGATAGAGCCCGTGGTTTGTCTTGACTGTCAGTGCCCACTTTTCTCACTCTTTGAAGCATGTGCCTGACTCTCTGAGCGATCTGCTGTGTGCGTACTCCATACACCACAGGATTAAGTGCTGGAGGGACTACCACGTAGAGATTTGCCAATAGGATGTGGATGTGGCCGGGAACTGTGCGGCGGCCAAAACGGTGAGCCAGGAAGGAAAAGAGGGCAGGTGTGTAGAAGAGAGCAATGACACCAGCGTGGGCCCCACATGTGCTCAAGGCCTTGTGGCGGGCACCGAGGGATGGCAGGCGACAGACAGCACGGAGTAGGAGGGCATAGGAAGCACCTATGAGCCCTAGGTCCAGCACTGGGGAGAGCAGTGTGGTGGCCAGTCCGTACCAGATGTTGGGGCGTGTGTCGCCACATGCTAGACGAGCCACGCCCATATGCTCACAGTAAGTGTGAGGCAAGGCCCGATGCCCACAGTAAGGGAGCCTCTGGAGAAGGACCACAGGGGGAGCCATGACACAGGCACCTCGAGCCACAGCTGCTATAGCCACCATACCTACCACACGCTGGCTCAGCAAAGCCCTGTAACGTAGAGGCTGGCAGATGGCCACGTAGCGGTCCACTGCCATGGCCAGCAGCACCGAGGACTCAGCAATGAAGGCCACATGAGCAACAAAGAGCTGGGCTAAACAACCCCCAAAGGAGATTTCTTCTGACAAGCCCCAGAGCACAGCTAGAGCTTTTGGCACTGTGGATGTGGCCAGAATCAAGTCAGCAGCTGCCAGAAGCCCCAGAAGCTGGTACATGGGAGCCTGGAGGGTTTTGTCAACTGCCACTAGCACCAGGAGAAGGGTATTTCCAACCACAGATGCCAGATACAGCAGGCACACAGGCACAGAAAGCCAGGCATGCAGGCCCTCAAGCCCTGGCACACCCAGCAGGACAAAGGGCCCAGGGCCAGGAAGTGTCTGATTGCGGGTGAGCAGTGCAGGGTCCATCCCCATCTTCTGCTCCCACGCCGCTCTGTCCCTGCAGAGAAGAAAGGCGGCCTGTGAGCAGCAGCTGTGGTTCCACTGAGATTTGGGTGAGGTTAGGGTTACAGAAGGGAAGGAGTAAGTTGATGGAGCATTTTCTGATCGCTATACCACAGGGTGCTGTGCCAAGCAGCGGGTTTCCCAACAGCATTGTGTGGTTGTTAGTGTTCCCACATGACGGGTCAAAGAGTTTGGGATCTGGGAGGCCAACAGATGCCTAGTCACACAGGCTGTAAGAAGAGTTCGGGTTTGAGTCTGCTAAGCACCACGCACCTCAGCTCCTGGTCATGACCCTTCTTCTCTCACAGTGTATTAAGTTCATATCCACTCTCCCAAATGTTCCATCCCTCCCCCTGTGTAAAGGATGTTTCCCCGACACCTATAACACCTCCTCCACTAGTTCTGGCCCACCGTAGCTCAAAGTACCTGACTTTGTGGAATGTAGTATTTTCTTTGATCAGTGTAGACATCTGAGACTCCTCAAAAAAAACTTTGTGGTTTCTGTTGTCTGTCCTTTTTCTGTGAGAAGATACTGTGGATTCTACGGAATCATTTTGGAGAAATCTGGGGCCCAGTAGGGATGAAGATCATCAGGTCTGGGATAGCAGTGGGAGGAACTGAGGCTGGGTGTCTCCGTAACAGTGGAAATGGTGGTGAAATTCAGATGGTGGTACTGGAGGGAGGGCAGAGGTGCATGCATGTGTGTGTGCGCGTGCGTGCGTGCGTGCGTGCATGTATGTGAAAGACAGAGTCGGGGGAGGGAGAGGGAAAAGAGTCTCTATTTAGCTCTGGCCAGCCTCACACTCACAGAGATCTACCTGCCTCTGCCTCTGCTTCCTGAGTGCTGGATAAACCTGAGTCAGGAATGATAGTACAATCATGTGATTCCAGCACTTCTGGGGCTGAGGCAGGAAAACTGTGGGTTCAAAGTCACCCTCGGCTACCTCAGATACCAACACCAGCACACCAGGCATGTGTATGCATACACACACACACACACACACACTCAAACACACCACCACCACCACCACCACCACCACCCAAAAAAAGCCTGGAGGAAAGAGCTGCAGTAGAATAGAGGGTTTTTTGCGCTCTACCTGAAGCCCACAGTTTTGTCATTCAGTTCCTGGAAGGTGGAATCTGGTCTCTAACCCGCTCTGTTAGACTGTTAAGCTGTGGACTGAGGAACCAGGGGCAGATGACCAGAGAACATTTTAGCAAGTAGAACTGGCAAGTTTAGCAGAGCTACTTCTGGGGTGCTCACTTATCCACACAGCCTCCCAGAGCAGAGAGGTTAAAATCCACACTAGACATCACCATATGGTGGTCACTGATTAGGAACCTGAGCTGCTTCTGGAAGGAGTTGCTTTGCCAAGTCATGGGGCCCAGACCTATCTCCTTACCATTGGGCCCCACAGAGTCCTCTGGACACCGAGAACACCCTGCTTGGACCTCTTACAAAGCAGACACAAGGAACCTAAGACATCAACGCCTCAGTAGTGGGAATGCCTGTCCCCAAACCACAGGGTAAGCATACCCTATACCCAAGCGAGGGCCCCTTAATAAGTCCTGTGCTCAGGATGAAGGCTCTCCCGGCACACATCCTGTTGGCACCTTTCCAAGGACAACTGCTTTGGTCTGTTTGTAACCACAGCACACACTTCTTCCAATTCCCTCCACATACTAAGTGAAGATGGAGAGATGAAAGCTGGCATGCTCCTCGAATCCTGTAGCCCAGTGGTTCTCAACCTTCCCGATGCTGTGACCCTTTAAAATATGGTGTGGTGAACCCCCCCCCAACCATAAGATTATTCTGTTGCTGCTTCATAACTGGATATCTGTGTTGTCTGGTGGTCTGAGGCGGCCCTTGTGAAAGGGTCATTCGACCCGCCAAGGAGGCTGCGACCCACAGGTTGAGAACCGCTGCTCTAGCCTTTTCTCGGCCTCGTCCCGACTCCCTGCAGGCATCACTGCACACTTCTCCCTCTCTGCCGCTTTGTCCTCTCACCCCACATGAGAACCTCAGCATCTCGGTACTGTTTAGCAAGGGGCATGCAGAGGGAGAAGTAGCAGTATTCTATTCTCCCTTAGCCCCCAGAACCAGACTGGCGCTGGGCTGTGGCACGGAGTCCAGCTGCGTCTCCCTGGTGAAGACAGGACTGCTGACAGGTCACCTGGGCTGCTTGCTGCGATCAGAAAAATGCCTGTACAGAAAGGCTACAGTCACAGAGCTGGGGCCACATGAGATTCTCCAGATCCAGTCCAAGACTGTTCCTCCTCCGCCATCCCTAGCTCCCTTCCTCTCAGGACAGCGGTTTCCCTTTGGTGGAAGCCACCGCACCACTTGCTTAGATTCTGAATGTCTACCTGTCTGTGTATCCCTTTCCAGAAGGTGTCTCTGATCTGACTCACATGGGCTTGCTTTAACAACAGCAGCCCAGGGGACACGAGTGGCTCACTAGACAGCTAGGATCCAAGGTTTGCCCTAGCCTCCACTGCCCCCAGATACCATGAGGTCATCACCACCTCTTCGGCTTTTCCTTTGAGGTGAACCAACTCCTGCCTGAGAGGCTTTAAGGCCAAGGCCAACGGCCCTGAGCAGAAGAGCACCAGACACCAGATGCACAGAAGACAGAGTGGAATGAGAGGCTTTAAGGCCAAGGCCAACGGCCCTGAGCAGAAGAGCACCAGACACCAGATGCACAGAAGACAGAGTGGAAGTGTAAAAGGAAAAAAAAAAACACTCTGTTCAGTCTTTTTTCTTTATGGGGAGAATCAATTAACTTGGAGCCATGATTTGATCCCATTGTGGGTCCTCAGCTGATTTTGGAAGAAGTACGGATGGAACTATGACGCCAAATTATATTTCTCCTGTTCCTGTTCTCATGTTGGCGCAATGACAAAACTCAGAGCAGGCTACGAAGCCACGTTGTTTAGGTGCATTTCCTACTTCTGCCACACCAAATCTGTGATTCACACAAGGTCCTTAGCTCCTCTCTGTCCTCGTTTCCTTGTTTCTAAAATGAGGATAATCATAAGTGCATCTACTCTGCAGGTGTTTTGTAAGGGGGGGGGGTACAAATCTAAAGGACTAGGGATATAGCTCAGTGGTAAAGCCCTCACCTCGCTTGTATGAGACCCTAGTTTCAAGCCACTGCAAAGCAAGGAAACTAAACAAACCACAAATCAAAAATTATATAATTTTATAGGGCTCAACAGTGCCTGTAATGTAGCAAATACTCGGCATACATTAAGCGTGATTGTCGTAGCAGCCGTACTTTTGCTACTCCTTAAATCTATCCTTCAGAGAGCCTTTCTACTGTACTTGGTGTGCACGCCGGACGGACCATCTCTCCATACACCTGAAAAACAAAACACAGAACGCGAGCTGGAGACTAACGCTAAAACTGTGAGCAGCCTAACGAGTGCACACTTATTTGTTCAGTTGACTCAAAGGGAGAATAAAAGATTTGATTAGATCAAAAAAAGACATTCCTCAAAATGAGAACCACGGAACACTGCCCTCAAGTGCCACCTTGCCTTACCATTCTGACACAAAATAATGAGACAGGGCAAGAATGACAATGCTTTGTACCAGATACCCAAAGGTGAGGGCATAGTGGCCCTTGCAGAGCAGGAAGCTCAGCACAGAGGGTCGAGGAGTACGTACAGGGCGCGTTGCAATGGAAGCTTACTCAACCTACCCTCCTCTGGTTCTGTGAAAAGAAAAACTAAAGTCTGAACAACCTGCTTCATTACTTCTGACCTTCCATGTTGAGCTCAATGTGGAAGAAATCCATGGAGAGGTTATAATGGGGGCTTTGTTACAAGAGTTTTCAGATAGTGTCCGGGATCTGAGTGGTCTTGGCTGATGAAGGGCTACTCCTCATGGGACATGGATTTCTCACCTCTATGCTGTGGAAACTGCATTAAAGATGAGGAAAAGGGATCTTGTTTCTACCCACCAATTTCTGCCTCGGGTCTTGCTTCTCCAGCTCATGCAGATGACAGGGCACCAAGAATCTCAGCAACTCCAAAGACTCTTCTAGGGCAAGCTGAGAGAAAGCAGGTGTGAGCAGATGGGGTTTATAGACTGCCCCTGTGTGCACCTCTCAGGGGCAATGAGCCCCAAGCCCCTGCAGGCCTGAGGTCTCAGCTGTGCAGTGGTAGTGAGGACTTAGTAGAGATCTGAGCTATCTCTGTGGACTTCCCTGGGTCCCAGATTTACATGCCTGACATACCCAGAACCTAGGGAGAAATGGAAACTGGCCCAACAGGTCCCCAAAGATCCATTGCAAGTGAGAGCAACAAAGCCAGGAAGACATTCTCTTTACACTAGACATATAGTAAAGGCAGTTGTCGTTGGGAAGTTATTAATGTTCTTAGAGACTGCTTCCATCCCTCAAGCTCTGTAAAGAGACTAGATATTCTGATAGAAACAGCCTAAATGTCTTTCTTCCAGACCAAACTTCCAAATAAAATTCACTGTTATGCAGCCTTGAGTACTCTCCACACCTGTGCCTCCAAGCTTAGTGTTTTCTTGGTGTGATGAAGATTGTTCGTCTCCACCACCCCCCCCCCAAAAAAAGTGGCTGTGACTTCTAAGGTAACGTGTGAAGCGTCCTACAAGTGCCTTCAACGCACCTGAACTGGCACAGCAGATACACTACAAAAGGTTGTGTGGCTCGACAAGAGGAGCTTGAAGGCAAACCCTGCCTACCTCAGTGCCAGCTAGGCCTACATGAGAGGCCCTTACACACCAACACCGGCATTACTGTTCACACCGCTTCCTTCTCCCCGAACATTGTACAGTTCCCCATTTTGAACAACTTGATGGCTCTTATTGTCACTGCAGCGAACCAAGTTCGTACTTGGTTTCAGTTCACAGTTATAATGATATTTTGTGTGTGCATTTATAGGTCGGGTAACAAGAAAAATAACCAATACAAGTGTATAGCTGAAAAGTTCAC